TTGAAATATTTAATGTGAGAGTTGACATTTTTTTAATATGTATTGACATCTGCCTAATATTCTAATGACAAAATTTTATATTACAAAAAGTGATGAGTACACATTTATATACTTTCTATAAATTTATTATTTCAAAATTTTCTTTTTATGTAAAATTTCAATCACATTATTTAATTTCTATTTAGTTGCCATTCTTAATTTTTTAAATTTAAATTTTGTTTAAATTTTGTTTTTGATGCCTAAAAAATACATGAAAATTCAAAATCGATTTACTAAGGGTTCCTAATAAAATTGATAACTATTAATGAAATGAAAGTATGACGTGGTAATTAAGATATGCTGATTAGACTTTGATTATATATATATATATATATTGCCTTTTAAGACAAATAAAAAACTAATTTAAAATCTTGCCACGCCTTTAGGCCATTTTTCAATTTAAAATTTAGGAATCTCAATACTTAAAAAAAAAGGAAAAAGAAAAAGAAAAAAATGTTGTCCACATACTTCTCCCACGTTTATGTATAAATGCACTTATAAAATGTGGTTATTCGCTAAAGTTTTTGTTTCACATTCAACCAATGAAATTAATGATCTTTAATAAATTAATAAATAAATAAATAAATTAATTAATATATATATATATATTATGGTTTTTTTAAAAAAATATTTTGAACATTGCACTAGTCAGATTTGATGGCTGCTGATGAAAAAAAACATTATTTATATCCGAATAGTAGGTGACGAATTAAATAAGTAATTTTTTAAAATTTAGATAATAAATTGATTTGATTTGATTTTCTTTTTTAAATAAACGATAAAAGAAATGGAAAGAATTTTTAAAAATAAAAAATAAAAAAAATGGTTATGAAATAAATTAAAATTTACAAGATTAGTATAGGATGAAAGAAAAAAAAAGGAGGACAGAGGGTACAATAAATAAGGTTATCCATTAGGTGTGACGATGAGTCACCGAAATTTGGCTTTGTCACGAATTTGATCCACTAAAACGTGGACAGCTGGAAGGATCTTTCTCGCACGTGTCAATTGGCAAAACCCTAATCCGAACCCGTCGTTTAAACTTAACCCAGGTTATCCTATAAGGACACCGTCACACCGGATCCCCATCTCTCCGTTTTACACGCGCAGCCTTCTTCGTCGGCAGAGGCGGTTCCAGTGGTGGCGCCATTCTCTTCCTCCGCCGTGACTTCATCTTCATTCCGCCCGTGTCCGCCGCCGGGCGGGTTCCGACACACTCGCCCTCATCCACGCGGTAACTAGGTTTTCGCGCTGCGGGAGTTTACACAGTCTCTTTTCTGAGCCGCAGAGATTGGATTTGGATTTCGAGAGGTCCAGAATCCACAATTCTCAGCCGTTGATCTCTCAGTCAACAACCTACATACAGACACGCCTTCCACCTGGACTTCCACATCAGTTCTCTCAAAGTTTCATCGCGCCATGAAATCAGGTTTCTCTCTCTCTCTCTTAAGTTTTAGTTTCTTCCCGCAGAGACACGTAGTGTATTGGAATATTTGGTCCTAATTTTAGTTTTGTTTTTTAAAGACGTTTTATAATTTTGATTCTTGGGATGTGAGATTATCTTCGCCGTCTTGTGGTTCCCGGACTCAATTCAACTTCTTCGGATTACTTCTTTTACTTCAGTTTCTCAAACTATTTTTCGTTTCGTTTCACTAATCCTTCTTTAATTGATGACTTCAATTTCCTCCCAGTATGTTTAATTCGACGATTAATGGAGTCCTCAGCCGCAATTTTGTGAGCAATTGTTTTTTAGAGGAAAAAATCGTTTTGCTCGAATTATTTTTGCCCATATGTTTTGGGATTGGAATGGATTGGAAGCTGTGTTCTTATAGGTAGGTGTGGGTATTATATGTTAGATTTCCCATTTGGGATGTAACATACTTATAGAGAAACATACTCGATCGCATGATTTTCCGGCGTCTATGTTGGAACCTATGATTAGGGATGTGGAAGAGTGAATCCATGAAAGCAAATTGGACGTTTAATCATTAATTTCTGTGATTGGAGAAAGTTATTCATGATAAGGCGTCTAAGGGGTGAATGTTCACTAATTCCAGGAACATCCTTATTTGGAAATCTGGTGTCTAGTATTGTGATCCGATTTACTGCAACTTAAATAGATATGGGCTCTGTTTTTACTTTCGCAGTGTTGAATGATATCCATCCGATTGCATCTGATTAACTCTGTAGATTGGTATGGTACCAGTCCAGCTATGAATTTATTATTATGGGACCTGCTTATTGAATGAAATTATGTTGCTTTTCCTAAATTTGCAATGCTCTCTCTAAAGATTATGAGTATATTTATGTGTCTCATTCTCTTCTTCCCAAGACCAATTCATTGTAGTTGATAACTGATTATCAGGTTGGTCGTAGAAACCATCAAGGACTCAGGATTATCACTCGGAAGTTGCTGAATTGTAGTGGTTTTAGCTTTGGTTGATGGGGACAGGAGAAGAGGGCACGCCTTCTAAAACTTCCAAACCTCCCTCTTCATCTCAGGTTATAGAACCTTCCTTAAGTTTCCCAGTTTTCATTCTCATATTGTCCATATCTTGAGTTGTTTTGATTGTTGTGCACAGGAAATACCCCCGACGCCTTCATATCCTGATTGGTCAAGCTCAATGCAGGTTAATGAGCTTCTGTTTTTACACTAATTGCCATTTGAATTCATTAAACACCTAGAATAGTTTTGATGATCTCGATAAATACTGCTGTCTCAAAGTTTAGCCTCTTTTGTAGGCTTACTATGGTGCTGGTGCTACTCCTCCTCCTTTCTTTGCATCTACTGTTGCTTCTCCAACTCCCCACCCTTACCTTTGGGGAAGTCAGGTAATTCTAATGGACTATTGTCCCTCCAAGTAGTATGGAGGTTGATCTTTTCTACAGGGGACAATAATGTTCCTGTTTTCTTATTTGTGTGTTAACATTTTTCAGCATCCTTTGATGCCACCTTATGGAACTCCAGTACCTTATCCAGCTATGTATCCTCCTGGGGGAGTTTATGCACATCCCAATATCACTGTGGTAATCTCATATTCAAATCAGTGAAGCCTTATTCTTTATGGCGTTATCTCAATATCATAAGTTCTTTGCCTGATCATTCGTTGTTATATACCCACATAAATCACTAGAATAAGATATAAGAATTTTAAGTTGGTTCTTGATATGCTAGATTTTCATTTGTAGCCTCCTGGCTCTGCCCCAATTAATGCGGAATATGAAGGAAAATCTCCTGATGGAAAAGAAAGGGCATCCAAGAAATCCAAAGGTACATCGGGAAATACTGGTTCAGGTGGCGGTAGGACCGGGGAGAGAGGAAAGGTGGCTTCAAGTTCTGGAAATGATGGTGCATCTCAAAGGTGTTTTTTGACTTCAGGCTTCGTACAAATTGTATTCCTTTTTAAATCAACCTTATCTGATTAAGAATTTCTGGTTTTTGTAGTGAAAGTGGTACGGAGGGCTCATCAGAAGGCAGTGATGAGAATGCTAACCAACAGGTATGTGGCTTTTCCTTCTTGATCTTTCAATCATCTGAACTGGTTCAACCACTACGATAGCCCTGTACTAGTGAGAATATTTCCATTTCTTTTTCAGGAATTTGCTGCGAATAAGAAGGGCAGCTTCAACCAGATGCTGGCTGATGGTACGATTCTTTTTTTTCTCACTTTAATTTTAGTTATACTGCTCATATATGCTTTTGCTATTAATGTAACTATTGAACTGCTATTTTAGGAGCCAATGCACAAAGTAACACGGGTGGACCAAATTCCAAATCTTCAGTGACTGGGAAACCCATCACTTCCATTCCTGCAACTAATCTGAACATGGGAATGGATTTGTGGAATACCACCACTGCTGCCTCAGGGGCTGCAAAAGCAAGAGCAAACGCAGTCTCCTCAGCTATTGTTCCAGCAACGATGATTGGTCGTGACGGTGTGATGCCTGAACAATGGGCTCAAGTATGAGCTACTCCCTTTATTTGAAATATTCTCCCAATTTCTGTTCATAGATTGATATTCTTTAAGTTCTTAAAACTTAGGGGGGAGTGAATTATTTATCATGTTGAATTTTGTCTTAACATGTAAATAGACCTACACCTGTTGCAGTTCATTTCTTTTTCATACACGTAATTGACCAGTATTTTCATTGCAATTCTTCTTGTTCGGTGCTCTCGATTGGTAGGATGAACGAGAGCTAAAACGACAGAAAAGGAAGCAATCTAACCGAGAGTCTGCTAGGAGGTCAAGATTACGTAAGCAGGTATGCACACTCACTGCCAACTTTGGTTCAGGAAATTTCATATTTCATTAATGCCCAAAGTAATGTAGTTTTGACTTTTTTATTCTTGAGGGGAAAATTACTAGTTCTACAATTTAAGAATGGTGTGATGTCCTTGGAAAGATGTGTCCAATTGATAATTGGAGGAGTTGGGACTATAAATTACTAGAAAATCTGGCATTAGTGATTCATCAAAATCAGCTGTTTGTAATGTTGCCTATTATCGACGACAGGCGGAGTGTGAAGAATTACAGGCCAGAGTGCAGACACTGAACAACGAGAACCGTACTCTCAGGGATGAGCTGCAGAGACTCTCCGAGGAATGTGAAAAGCTAACATCAGAAAATAGTTCCATCAAGGTCAAATCTTCTTTTCATTCAGGCTGGCTGCTGCTATTAAATGCATCAAAGAATTAATCAACTTTAAGTTTGTTTTTCGAACAGGAAGAATTGACACGATTTTGTGGACCGGAGGCATTAGCTAAATTTGAGAAAGGAACTGCTGCTACTCCGGCTGCCCAGTCGCACGGTGGTGACGAGGGTAACAACTAAGAGTAACAATTCGACACCATTTAGAAGCTGCTGATTCCAGTGTGGGAAGAGGAAACCATATTAATTAACTCGGATTTATGATCTTGTTTTAGGAATATAGAAATTTATTTTTCTGACTAATCCATACGCTTGACCTCTATCAACTGTAACATTATAAAAGAAACTTTCAACTCGCTCGGTGGTTCACTGCACCTCGGAAGCATAATGGTGCATAAGATTACAAATACTTCTTCTATCAAATGTCAATGCGGAGTAAAAAGAATATTGTGAAGGATATACACTGTTCGTTGATTACTGATGCAAAGAAAAAACGAAAGAAGGCACTCATTATAAGCGGATACCTATAGATACTTCCCAGGGAAACAGGGGCTGATATTCTAATAATGTACACCAGTGAATGGGAATTTTAGGAGGGAAGTCAATCGTCAATATCCGATTCTGTATCGGAGTCTAGTCTTGTCTGATCTTCAATTTGTAGGTTACTTCCAGCCTGATTTGGTCTGGCTGGCCCAATCCTTGATGATTGCTCGTCTGTTACAGTGGTGAAGAACGTAGTTAGAAAATGCATTAGCAAGTTATAACCAATAAGCAAAATATTCCCAAGTCTCCACCTGATCCCATTATTCTCATAATCATGGTTCGTAGATATTGAATCTCTGCTTGATGAGCACTGATTGTTTTCCCCTGCAGTTGAAAATCAAAATCACCACCTTTAGATTGATCCGCGGTCACCAAGAAGAAAGAATGAAAACTCGTACTGTTTAGGGATTACAGAATGTAGGCACGAGACTATGCATGTGACAATGAGACGGAAGTAGAGGAGTTACCATTTCATTATAAACAGACCCCAAAATTCGATCCACCTTTGCTTGATGCCTAAGGAAGAAAGGACGCAGGTGCTTCGTGTATACTTTCTTTGCACCCTGTAAGAAAGCAACGAATGAATTAGGAAAAATATAGTTCAGAACACATTGCATAGGACTCGATGATGTTTGACAAGAACAACTACCAAATGCTAAGACCCTTTGTATTGTTTTAAATAAACCTTCAAGCAACGTTAAAAGTCGAAAGCATTCCGTACGACGGCTATCTCATTTTACTCGCGAGATACCCTTCAAGAATTCAAAAACAATATTTCTATCCTTTGTGCATTTATCTTGGGACGACCTATCTGCATCCTCTTTAGGACCTCCTAAGAAATCAGTTCGATTTAGTTTTTCAAATCGGTACCAATCTATTTTCGGTTTAAAGTCGTTATGGTCAAGCATTTTCAAGGTTTTTCTCGGTCCGTAGCTGGAAAGGACTGGCAGGAGGTCTCTGAAGGAAAATGGGAATTACTCTCTTCGCTCAATCAACTAATGTCCCAGAGAAGTATTTTGCAAGTACAACCCCTTTTTGTAATCAACTCCAGTTGGCGGATCTTTTTACAAAATCCTTAAGTGTTCTCACAAAGTCTACCCTCTCACGTAAATTTTGCAACCATTTTCTTATGATTAAAACAATAAATTAAATTTAGAAATATTGAAATCCATACTTACACCAGTTGCTGGGAGCTGGAGCCAAACAAGAAATGCAAACTTCAAATGGTAGTACACTGGAACCCTACAATTTCATAGCAGATAAAAAAATTGCACGATCAGTAACAGCATGGCTACGCCTGCTTCTTGAATCAAGGACTAGACTACAGTTATTGCCCATCCTTTTTGGCTTTAAAAAAGAAGAGAGGATAGAAATGTGTTTGAAGTTAACCGAAGTTTTATTTTGGCTGGCATTTGAAAAGAACAAAAATTTCAATACGTTGAGAGCTCACTGATAACAAGAACCACACTTGATGTACACTATATTTGACTGAACCACTAAAATTGTTTGTGGTTTTATTTGGCGTCTTGCAGATTATATGCTTAGAGAAAAGAAACCAAAATTACTTTTTAAGAAAATACGAGGGAATCAGATGGATTTTTAATTATACTATCAAGCCACTTGTGTAATTATGAGATTTTCTCAATACAACAATTGGAATACTTCTATGTAAGCTCCATTGGGAGGATACCACAACTATGCTTCCTATTCTAAACTGAGGCAAATACATTAGACAGAAGGAAATTGTAAGCGTAGAGTATTAAAGAATGATACCATGAAAGAAGTTTGTCTGAGAACACTTCAACAAGGCTGAAAGATCCATAGGCTGTATTTATGAAAATACAGAAGAGATTAATGTCTTCGATAACGCATAATGGTTGTGTACAAGAATTTCATGAAAATAACAAAGGTTTCATGCAACAATTCAAGTATATAATCATCCTCATTCCACCAACATGCTAAATACAGGCATTAGAACAGAATACAGAGGTTTACGTTCACAGGCATGTCAATAGTCAATATTACAAATTATTAGTACAATAAAAAGGAAAAAATATACCAGTTTTATGATCTGCTACATCCATCAAGTAATACGGTATATTATTTAGAACGAAAAATATGGAAAGGTCAACCACAAAATTAATTACATTGTTCTAATTATACATTTGTCAAATCAACTATGCATAGAAGTAGTATTCAATTTCCAAGAAGGTAACCCTTTTTGTTATTCCCAAGTGTCTGGATTAGTCTGGTCATCTACCATCTTTTCCAACAAAAATTTGATTACAAACTCAAAATTTTGTCCCTTTACTATTTTCACTTGCTCCAATGATCATTAAGCCAACCCTATAACTAAAACATCTCCAAGAAGATAATTAATGGCAAAGTTCAAAGAACAATGGCCTGGTTGGCTCAAAGTAACACTTGCATACTTCTCCATGGCAAAGAACAAGAAAAAAAAGAAGAAAAAACCTTTTACGAAACTCAAAATCAAGAAAGCTAAAGAAACAAATCAATGAAGAGGAGAGAACTGAAAATATTTTTTTTTTCCCAACCTGCCCAATACAAAAGCCACTTCTGTTGCTCATTTTGATCTTTCTTCTCAATCGCCTTGAAGGTGGAATAAACGGGTAAAACAACCCCTACAGAGCAGCTAAACAAGCCAAAAGGCACAATGAGAACCCGTAGATAATGTTACAACTAATATTTTGAAAGCAGTCCAATCAATACCATAGTCTCTTCATCAAAGTTTCAGAATAGCATCTCCCACTAGTATATTTGTTAGAACAAAATGAAAAATAGGTCGAACAAGCTACTAGGAAAGGTGTTGAGGAAAAAAAAAATCCCACATCTTAGAGGAGTTTACATGTCAAAGCTTACCAAGCAGTACGAACAACAACATTGGAACCGAGAGGATATAGGAGAAGCTGCAATCCAACCTGCACCAAAGATCCCCAATATCATATCTTTCGCACGTTCTCAGTGCAAACTACTTTCTATCAGAGAGCATTCATCTTATTTTCCAGACACGTATCACGTTCATATAAGGACCAGGCCCGAAAAATTGACTTCTAAAAGGACTATCAATACTACATTCGAGTTTTCATCACATCCTTATAACACATATTGCTGTAAAACATTCATTCATACGTTTGTCCCTAACCTAAGCTCAAGACGCTAATAAAAAATCAATATTCAACCTCGTGACCTCACGAAGTCTCATAATCGTATCTCTTCCCACTAAAACACATACCTTCGTGCAATCCTGTATAAGAGATCGATGAAAGTGAAACAAACAAAGTGAACCCTATATAAGAGAGATCGATGAAATTGAAGCAAACGAATACCCCCTTCCTTATCCGGCACTAAATAGACACCTTCATCTCGAAGACGTTAAATAAATTCTTCAAACGCTGTTTCCAAATTTGTGAACAATCAAAGGAGAAAAAACCGAAGAAGATCTAGCTGACAAGAAGATCGAATAAAGGAATGAAACCACACCTCGTTGGAAATTGCCGAGCCGAGAAGAGCCATAATTCGAACGGAAGCAAAAATCGCTCCTCAAATCTTCACCAAAACGAACAAGAGATTCAAGAAAGAAAAACAAAATCCAAAGAAAAAGGTTTCCGTGCAAGTGAAAAATTAATGGATAGTATGGAATTTGAGCGTCGATGAGTAGAAACTAGAAAGAACTGAGAATAGGCATTTCGCAAAACCTTAATATGGAAAACGTAAAAAAAAAAAAAAAAAAAAAAAAAAAAAAAAAAAAAAAAAAAAAAAAAAAGTTTTCATCTAAACGAAAAAACAATTTTTTTTAAATGAATAAAGGGTAATTGATGAAATATATATATATATATATATGGCTAAATTAACAAAAATACCTCAAATTTAGTTCTATGTTTAAAAAATATTTAAAATTTCAAAAATACGTTTGAACTACTCATATTTTATATCAAAAATATTTTAATTTTAAAAAACCGATTTATCGCTGTATCACATTTCAAAAGTAACAATAAAAAAAGATGATAATCTATAAAGTGTTAATAGATAGTTTCGATGATCATACGTTGACTCTAATTTTCAGGAGTATTTACTAAACACAATACTGACACTAAAAATAATAATTAAATTTTTTAAAGCTCAAAGATATTTTCGAAGCCCTAATAAAAATTTAAGAGTATTTTGGTTTCCTCCCAACATAAATATTTGTTTTGTGCAAAATATCACAACAAATGTCCGAATCAGACAAATTTTAACCAATAATTTAATAATGTCTTGGTTTTTTTTTTTTTTTTGTTTTAATTGTAATTCGAAACTCAATATAATAAATTCATGAACTGAGATGAGTTGAGGAATTTAATTTTACTGGACGATCTAATGATCTTTACATAAATATAGCAGCCATGGCATCCATGTCGCTACTGTTTCTAAAGCAAAAGCGACCGCAAATGTTTACAAAATCAAATGTGTTTATAACTTACAAACACAAAGGAGAAGAGCTTCTCTTCTCTTCCAGTTTCAGTTGCTTCTGTTCATATCCTGGCGGCCTGATATGTCTCCGCCGCTGCCGCCGCCTGGGTATGATTGAGCGGTTGTTGTGACGTCGACGCTGCTGCCTACTGAGGTTATTAGTGCAGCCAGGCCACTGTTGGGGCTGCCCCCAGCTGCCATTCCCAATCCAAGGAAATCAAGGGTGGTGTGTTTTGGAGCAAACATGGAATGGTTTCCCCTTATTAGTTCCTTCAATCCCGAGTTTCCATCGCAGGGGAGTCCGAGGCCAAGCCCTGCAGCGATCGAGACGCCATCTGGTTCGACTTGTCTCTGGTGGTTCCATGGCAAGCTCTCTTGCTGAGCAGCTGAAGAGGAAGATGATACTAACCCCAAGCCACGAAGCAACGACGCACTTGATGCTGCTGCACCCATTTGAGCAGCTCTTTGGAGTAATGCTGTAGCGGACATTGCAGGGTGTGGCATTGGTACGTACGGTCGGAGGTCTTGGCTGGCGGTTCCGAACATCGGAGGCCCTTGATTCATTGCAAGACATAGAGAAATAGGTTCAATGGTTGAAGATGGTGCATAGTCTGATGAACGATCTGAACAAGCCATGGCTTGCATTAGGTTCGTAAATGGAGGTCTTGGAGGTTGGAGGCTTATCGACGTAGTTGAAGAAGCAAATAAGCCAGCAAATCCGCTACTTCTCGTGCTACTATTGCTGCTCGCACTCTTGCTGCTGCTGCTGCTGCTCCCGCTCGTAGCCGCCATACCCGGTGCCTCTTCGATATATTGCAAGGGAATCTCTGGCAGCTCTGTTGATAAAAATAAAAATCTTAACAAGGGTAAAGAATCAGGAATGATCACAAAAAAGGTTAACATCCGAGAATTGTTTAAAAGAAAACAAAAAAGAGGAATCATCAATCATTTTCTTTACTATAAAAACCCCTTTTCAATCCTCTTTTGGCTTTTTTAGCACTTGGGGATCTCTTTAACAAAAGCTATGAATCTCATGATTTACAGTAACCATTCCAGAAAAGGGTTCATTTTAAAATACTTGCAGATCGATCATCACCCCAGATGGAAACAAAGAACAATAACAGACAAAAACAAACAACAAGCAACGATGTTGTTTCATGAACACTTTAGAGCATACACGACAAGGCCGAGAGGTTGACTTTACCTTGATTTGGAACAGGCAGCACAGTTGTTGGCTCACCCGTTGACTGCGGAGATGGAGGCGGTGGCGATAGTGGAGAAGGCTCCGGATTGGGTTTCGCCACCGTCGTTTGAGAATCGCCTATGTCTGGATCCAAATCCGGTTCGTCCACCGGCTTAAGCTGAGCTTTTGCCCTTTCCTCCGCCAATGCATCACAGAAAGCTCTATGTGTAATGAAGCTATCCCTCCTTTAAACCAAAACCCAATTCAGAATCCCAAAAATCTCAACAAAAACCCAACAAATTAAGCAGAGGAAATTCAATTCACCTGTTAAACAAAGTCCCACAATCGCATTTATACTCGCGAGTGCCACAAATTTTGGAGTGGGCTTTCCAATCGGACTGAACGGCGTATTTTTTAGAACACTTATCGCATTTCCATTTCTTCTCGCCATGCTTTCTGCAAAAGTGCTTTTTAATCCCAGTCAGATCACCGAGAGCTCTAGAGGGATCGTGATGAACACATGAACTCTCAGGGCAGACATAGACCTTCTTCTTGACCTCCTTACTTGACCTCTGCCGGAGCTTCCATGGAAGATTGTGTCCTCGCCGGTGAAGCTGCAGATTCTGATCCCTCTGAAACCCCTTGTTGCAAATCTCGCAAACAAATCGATTCGTGGCCAAAAGGGTCTTCGGAGACAAAGCTATTACTTCTGCCTCCGGATCTGTGAGAGGAAAATCAAGTTCAATCGATTGAACAAGTTCAATAAAACATTAACAAGTAATTGAGCAATCAAATAACCTGGCATTCCGGGAAGATTTCGCTTCTTCTTAGTAGCAGATTTCGCTCCAGGAGAAGAAACGCTACCCTCTATGGAAGCTATAGACGAATCTTCTACATCGGCCGACATGATTTTACAGGAAAAATTTCACAAATCCGAATTGAAATTCAATAATCGAGAGCAAAAGAGGAAAGAAAGGGAAATCCAAGTATTTCAACTTCAAATCGAGGAATCCTTTTAGATGGGGTGGCGACAGTTCATTTGATTCTAGGGCTTTTTCCCCCAATCTCTCTCTCTCTCTCTCTCTCTCTCTACCGGTCAAATAGCTTTATTACCCCCATCCACCTACCATTCTCCGAGAGTTCTCCGACCAACATCCAGCATTTCCGAACAAGATGAAACCCCTCTCAACCAAAAGGGGTCTGTCTAGATAGATTAACGCAGCCAACGGAAAATCACTCGCCGGCGATTGAACTATCTCTGAAGACCGGTGGAACAGCTGCTTCACCGTCCGGTGATCGGAAACAAATTTCGGAACAAGATGAAGAGGATGGAGAATGAGAGAAAAAGAGAGTTGGGTGAATCAGGTTCGAGTCAGTGGAGACGGCGAGTTTGAGGTTTTAGAGAGAAAAATCAAAATCTTTAAAAGATGGAAAGGAGAGGCGGTTTGCTGAATTTTGTGCCGCAGGACTTCCAACGTGACTTCTTCTCAAAGTTTTCGACTTCGATTCAGACAAAGCTCTTTCCTCTTTTATTTATTTATTTATTATTTTTATTCCTTTTTTTTTTTTTTTTTTTTTTTTTTTTTTTTTTTTTTTTTTTTTTTTTTTTTTTTTTTTTTTTTTCTCTTCGTAATTTTGTTTTGGCAAATTTAATGTCGTCGGACGTGGAACTCGATGTCCCGAATTCAACAAACTATTAAATTATAATTAAATAATAATTAAATTTCTTTGTTTTCTACTGATTATTTTTGTTCTTTTTTTTCTTGAATTTGTCTTCTTATTAAACATTTGTAATTTGTCCCTTTTGAATGCTCTCCCATTTTACACGTTTTTTTAATATAATTTTTTGTTTTAATTTATTACATAGAAAAAAGTAAATTTTAATTAATTTTATTAAATGACAACAATTTCATAATTTAATCTCAGATAAATCAATAAATATGTTCAAGTTAATGAGAAATTTTAATATTTTGACTTTTTCTTCGTTATTCAACTCCATATATTAAGAGTTTGACCAAATTCTTATATTTAAGTTTACACATGATTTTTTTTTATTATTAATTTTATTTTATTTGTATATTTTTGCACTCTAACAATTTTTTTATATTAAAAATCACATATCAAACTTTTAATAAATTAAATTTAAAAATGGACCAAACATGTATTTTTAAGTTTATTCAATTGATTATTACAATAATTTGACCAAATAAACTCTAAAAATATAAAATTATAGAGTCTCCAAAGATAATATTATGAATAACCTTTGTAATTAAAAATCACGTTAACTAACTAATTATTTATAATACATTATTAATTAACGACAAAGATTAATGAAACGCAATTTTAGTATTATTTCATTTAAAATTTAATAATAAAAATATTTTTTTAAAAATTATGAGTTTTTTAAATAATTTTTGAAGTTGATAGATAATATTAAAACAAGTTTTGTGGTATAAAGATATTTTATATAATTAGCTGTTAATTTTATTTATAAATTTAACTAAAATAAAAAATATTTAAAATAAAATAAAGGGATATTGACAAAATTTTGTTAGAGATTTATCGTCATAATTCTTCATATAGTTACCTATATATATATATATATATATATATATATATATATATATATATATATTATTGGTGAGAAAACTAAAATGTGGAAAATAAATTATAGGATGATGTAAAATAAAAATAAATGAAATGAAATAAAAACACAGTATACAAAGAAGAGCACGTTACAAACGTGCGTGGACCATAAAAACGACTAAGCGCCGCCTCCAAAATAACTTTTTTTTTTATTATTATTATTATTAATTGATTTTAACCCTACTATTTATCTATTTACAAATTACATTTTAAATATTTTCCTATTATTATTCTCCCCTTCTTTAACTTGACTTTAATATTTATGAAAAATAAATAAATTAGAATTCTTTTTTTTTTTTCCTTTCTTTTTTCAATAAATATAAAGGCAAATATTTAATCCTTGAAATTCACGTGAACATAAATGCTATATACGATAACCACTAAACCGTAATTATATTCAATATTAAATAAATAAAAGTTGGTTACAATAATTTAATGCATCCCCACTTGACTATACGAATTGATGGGTTTATTTATGGGAGCAACTATAGATGTTTTGAAGTCGTTTTAGGTATGTTTATATCTTTTAAATTTTAATTTGTATTTATTTTACACATAAAAAAAAAGAATATAAAAATAATAAATTAATTAATGATGAGTTATCCCTAATACAATGCCGTATTTGGTAAGCTAGTTACATATTTTTCGATTAAAGGGTCCGGTCTAAAACATTGAAATAACTTAGAGTTTAAACATTGACATAAACGGCACTTTTCTCAATGTTTTTAAAAGTATTAGGAAAGATTTCAGTATTGAGAAAGAGTCTGGCTTAATTAAAGTGAGAAGTTGTTCGAGAAGAAGATTGTTGAAGATTGTTGGGAGGAAGTCCCACGTAAATACATCTTTACTAATACAAGATCTTTCGGATAGCACAAAGCAAAGTGATGCTTCTCCTCTTGTTGTTGGGATGGCATGATGAGTCAATTATTTGTGTTCATGTCTATGGTGGATATGTCAGTAGCGCCGTATGATCTGGTGGTTGTGGTTGTAACGTCCACACTCCCGCCTATTGATGTGATTAGTGCGGCCAGGCCGCTGTTGGGGCTTCCACCAGCCGCCATTCCCAATCCAAGGAAATCCAGGGTGGTGTGTTTTGGAGCAAACATGGAATGGTTTCCCCTTGTTAGTTGTTTCAATCCCGAGTTCCCATCACAGGGGAGTCCGAGGCCGAGCCCTGCAGCGAATGATACGTCATCTGGTTCGACTCGCCTCTGGTGGTTCCATGCCAAGATCTCTTGCTGGGCAGCTGCAGAGGAAGATGACACTAAGCCTAAGCCACGAAGCAACGACGCATTTGATGCCGCTGCGCCCACTTGAGCAGCTTTTTGGAGTAATGCTGTGGCGGACATTGCAGGGTGTGGCATTGGTAAGTACGGTCGGTGGTATTGGCTGGCAGTTCCGAACATTGAGGGCCCTTGATTCATTGCAAGACATAGAGAAATAGGTTCGATGGTTGAAGATGATGCATAGTCTGGTGAGCGATCTGAACAAGCCATGGCTTGCATTAGGTCTCTATATGGTCTTGGAGGTTGGAGGCTCATCGACGTAGTTGAGGAAGCAAATAAGCCAGCAAATCTGCTACTTCTCGTGCTACCATTGCTGCTGCTGCTGCTGCTGCTGCTGCTGCTCCGACTCGTACCCGACATACCGGCTGCCTCTTCGATACATTGCAAGGGATTCTCTGGCAGCTCTGAATCTCATAATTTAGAGTAAGCATTCCAGAAAAGGGTTCATTTTAAGAACAATAACAGACCAAAAAAAAAACAAACAATAAGCTACAAGCAGCAATGTTTTGGTTTTAGTTTTGTTGTTTCATGAAGACTTCAGACCATACACGACAAAATGAACAAGGCCGAGAAGTTGACTTCACCTTGACTTGGAACAGCCAACACAGTTGTTGGCTCACAAGCTGACTGCAGAGGAGATGGAGGCGGTGGCGATGGTGGAGAAGGCTCCGGATTCGGTTTCCCCACCGCCGTCTGAGAATTCCCCACCGGTTTAAGCAGAGCTTTTGCCCTTTCCTCCGCCAATACATCACAGAATGCTCTATGTGTAATGAAGCTATCCCTCCTTCAAACCAAAACCCAATTCAGAATCCCAAAAATCTCAACAAAAACCCAACAAATTAAGCAGAGGAAATTCAATTCACCTGTTAAACAAAGTCCCACAATCGCATTTATACTCGTGAGTGCCACAAATTTTGGAGTGGGCTTTCCAATCGGACTGAACGCCGTATTTCTTAGAACACTTACCGCATTTCCATTTCTTCTCGCCGTGCTTTCTGCAAAAGTGCTTTTTAATCCCAGTAAGATCACCAAGAGCTCTAGAGGGATCGTGATGAACACATGAACTCTCAGGGCAGACATAGACCTTCTTCTTGACCTCCTTACTTGACCTCCGCCGGAGCTTCCATGGAAGATTGTGTCCTCGCCGGTGAAGCTGCAGATTCTGATCCCTCTGAAACCCCTTGTTGCAAATCTCGCAAACAAATCGATTCGTGGCCAAAAGAGTCTTCGGAGACAGAGCAATTACTTCCGCTTCCGGATCTGGGAAAAACATGAGTTCAAATTCAAGAGTTAAAGAACAATAAACAAAATAGTAATGGAAAGGCACCTGGCATTCCAGGGAGGTTTCGCTTTTTCCTTACGGCGGAGTTGGGAGGCGAGGCAGGATTTCCCGGGGTGGAGACTGTGGGTTCGCCGGAAGCCGGTGAGGAACTGTCCAAGTCGACCGGCATATGGGGGGTTAGCAGAGATGAACCAAATTCGAGAGACGTAAAGAAGAAGATTTGAGAGCATTTATGTATTTCGATTGGGGGAAAATGTTTATGCGGGGGACACCAATGTTTGTTGTTCTAGGGATTTTGTTTTTCCTTTTCTCTATCTAAATCTCAATCTCAATCTCTACAGAATCCCACATTACCCAAAAAACGCAATGATTAAACTTCCACCACCTCCCACGACGGTGAAGAAACTCACGGCGTCCATTGGCCGCCGCCAGGAGGAAGGCGAAATACTGAAAATGTTGAAGCCAATCAACTATGGTCCTTTTGAGTTTATGTTAAACACCACCTAAAACTTTAGGACCAAATTTAAGTCACACGGTTGCGTGGGATTAACTAAAATTATTCTCGTGCTTGTTGGAAGGTCATAAGTGAGTCACATAAGTTCAATCGTGTAACAAAACGAGCGAAATCACAAAAATCTAGACAAAAACAACGGCGAGATGTTTTTTGAGTTTCTATAGGTATGTCCCATACAGTTGCGTTATATTGAACATGATGTCTTATCATACTATAAGTAGCGCTTATACCATCAAGATGAGAAATGAAAACAATGTGTTACTAAGAGAGAGACGGGCTAATTCAAGCAAAAAAACATGTTTCGTTGATTCCTTCCTCCTTTAATTTCAACCATTATTGAGTGAACCTTTTACCTTTCCTCGCACCTCTGCATCACACTCATTAAACCTTTTATCTGTTTCATTCTATTATGTTTCGTTGTCGGCTTTAGAGTTTTTAAAACATGTCTATTAGGGAGAGATTTTCATACCGAGGGAAAAATGAAGCCCTCCTTATAAGAGTGTATGAACTATCTCCCTAATAGACACATTTTGAAAACCGTGAAGCTGGCAGCGATACGTAACGAATTAAAGCGGAATATTTGCTAGCAACAGACTTGGACTGTTACAAATGGTATTAGAGCTAGACACTGGGCATTGTGTCATTGAGGACGTTGGCCCCCAGTGGGTGGATTGTGAAATCCCATGTGGAGAGAGAAATGAAAAATTTCTTATTAGGGCTTGAAATTTTATTTTTTAACATCGTTTGAGATTGCAGAAAGAGGATGATTCTAGAGTGCTTCGATCCTATGCTTGAAACGACATAATGACGTGCTCTAATTAATATTAATTAAATGTTACTGTGTGATCAAAGAATTTGTTCGAAGTACAAATTTCTTGATCCTTTCCTTTTGTCTAACAAGCTTACTATTCGAACCAAATAATCAATCAAATCATTCTCGTGGTGAAACTGATAATCAATATCTCAATCAAAGTTACCGATAATAACATGAGGGGAGAAAGAGGATGCAATGAATGGATATTTCCCCCAATTTACCATAATTTATGCTTTTTCATTGCTTTAACTTTATACAAAAAGTCTTCCATCATTAAAAGATTCTCATTCATTGAATCGTGTAGATTTGAGCGTCTTTACGTATCGTCGTCAGTTTTACGGTTTTAAAACGCATCTATTAAGGAGAAATTTTCACACTTTTACGAGGAATAGTTCATTCTCTTCTCCAAGTGATGTGAGATCTCTCAACTCACCCACTTGGAGGCTAGCGTCATCGTTGGCACACCGTTCGGTGTCTGTCTCTAATACCATTTGTAATAGTCAAAGTTGACCATTATTCATATTTTTAAAACGTGTCTGTTAAATAAGGGAACGATGGTTTTCATTTAAAATATAATTAGAAATAATAAGGTTGATTAGGTGGAAGATTAGTTGGTGAATGAGATTTATTAGATAAACTTTGGGTGATTATTAGGTTAAATCTCATTTTCTTTTAGGTTGGAACCCTTCAACACCCTCCTTTTAAAAAGCTGACTGGACTCTTATTTTTTCTGCTAATCTGACCTGGAAATTATTATAATCTATATTATTAATTTCTCCATAATTCTTATCTTTTCTTAATCATAAATTTAAAAATACAAAAATAAAAGAAGAAACTATTAAAAAATTTAAATATATATATAATAAAAGTAAAGAAAATAATATGAAAGGGATAGCATCTATAACTTACTGAAGGCTTGAGGATAGCATCAATGGCAGGCACCACCGTCAATCGTCGGCTCTGTTGGTGGAGAGCTGGCGGCCACCCGTCTGGTGGTGGTTGCCCACTGCTTGTTTGGTGGCCGACAATAGTTAAAAGGCCCATTTATATTGTTAAAGTGGGCCTATCAGTTTCTTTTGATGGGCTTAGCAATCTACTTGAGCCCATTTTCGGTTGAAGGTGATAATTAATTGCCTTTATTATTTTATATTTTCTACTTATATTTCCTAATTACGATAAATAATATATTAATTATTGGAGGATTAGAAAAAATATATAATTTTATCTATCCAAATCATTTGACCAAATGCACAACCAAAGAAGAGATATTTACAAAATTGCCATCTAAAAAATTAGCAAAAAATAAAAATAAAAATAGCCTATTTATTTCTTGAGATGCCCTTATTACCCGTTCCTTGGTTTTCCATGTCTCAAGTAATTTAAAAAAATGAGAATTTAATTTACAATATATTTGTATTGTATTTAATAATTAAAAATTCATAATATCTATGTTTATTAAAAAATAAATTAAACTAGAAAACTACCAACCCGACTTTAGAGAGTGTCCAATCAAGGAGGCTAGAAGTCAGGAGTGAGCTGAAACGAACATTACAATTTTTGTGCTTAAAAACAGTTCCAGTGTCGGATTAAATCAAATTGAGTTCGCTCGAGAAGAGAACAAGATTTCGATCAAATCAAATTGAGTTCATCCTTGTCAATCCGACAGGAACAGCAAATACAGTTCTGAATTCAAACGACCGACTCAGTCCCCATAACACAAATCCTTTATGAGCTTTTCAGCTCTATCCTTCAATGTCCTAGATCGTATATAATTGTAGAACCGACGAGATTTTTTCAGAAAACAACCGATTAGAAGAAGATATAGAAATGGAGAAGACAATGGCGGGCAATGATTTCGCGGGAGGAGCCTCCGGCGAAACTCAGAACAAGCTGAATAAATATTCTCTGGCTTGTGCTATAATTGCCTCTATTATCTCTATCATATTTGGTTATGGTGAGTTTTTGATTTTCAAGTTGATTGTGAAGAACAGAAATTGGGGTAAATGTTTAAGTTCATGCGATTGAAATTTTAATTTTGCAGATACGGGTGTTATGAGTGGAGCTATGATATTCATTAAAGATGAATTGAATATTGATGATGTTAAAGTGGAAGTTCTAGCGGGGATTTTGAACTTGTGTGCCTTGGTGGGATCGTTGATGGCTGGAAGAACCTCCGACATAATTGGACGCCGGTATACGATCGTTTCAGCGTCGGTGATCTTCATGGTGGGCGCTATTCTGATGGGCTATGGTCCAAATTACGCAGTCTTGATGATCGGAAGGTGCATCACCGGCATTGGAGTGGGGTTTGCGTTGATGATTGCCCCTGTTTACTCTGCAGAAATTTCATCGCCGTCATATAGAGGATTTCTCACTTCTTTACCGGAGTTTTGCATCAGCTTCGGTATCTTAACGGGGTATGTTTCGAATTACTGCTTCGGGAAAATGGCGGTGAAGATCGGCTGGAGAATGATGCTCGGAATTGCGGCGATTCCGTCGCTTGTTTTAGCTCTCGGAATTTTGAAAATGCCGGAATCTCCACGGTGGTTGGTGATGCAGGGACGGCTAAAAGAAGCCAGAGATATTCTAGCGAAAGTGTCGAATTCAGAGGAAGAAGCAGCGATGCGATTCAGAGATATTAAACTCGCGGTAGGAATCCCCAAGGATTGTGAGGAGGATGTTGTGAAATTGAACAGAGAAACTCACGGCGAGGGAGTTTGGAGAGAGCTATTGATTACCCCGACGCCGAGCGTGCGGTGGATTCTGGTGGCGGCGGTTGGTTTGCATTTCTTCGAACACTCTACGGGCATTGAAGCAGTCATTTTGTATAGCCCTAGAATCTTCAAGAAAGCCGGAATCGCCAGCAAGGACAAACTCTTATTGGCCACCGTTGGCGTCGGAGTGATCAAAACGCTGTTCATCCTCGTCGCGACGTTCTTACTCGACAGAGTCGGAAGAAGACCACTGCTATTCACAAGCACAATCGGGATAACGATTTCGCTCACATCGTTAGGGTTTTCTTTGACAATGGTGGAACATTCAAACGGGGAGTTATTTTGGGCGTTGGTTCTAAGCATATGCTCCGTTTATATGTATGTCGCCTTCTTCTCGATCGGAATGGCGCCGATTACCTGGGTTTACAGCACAGAAATTTTTCCGTTGAAATTGAGAGCGCAAGGGACGAGCATCGGAGTTGCGGTGAATAGAACGATGAACGCGGTGGTTTCGATGAGTTTCATTTCGATCTACGGGGCGATTACGATCGGTGGAACTTTCTTTATGTTCGCCGGAATCTCTATAATCGCTCTGATTTTCTTCTATTTCTTCTTGCCGGAGACGAAAGGGAAGTCGTTGGAAGAGATTGAAATGCTATTCGGCAAAAATGCAGAGCCGTCGGCGAAGGGAGACGGTCGGGCAAAAGACGACGTGTAGTTTTGAAGCCGTCGGTAGAAATAAGACATGTCGGCCACCAAGAAGGATGATGTCCATCTCTTCTCTGGCTGTTCGTTTCTTTTAAATTGCAACTTCGAGACAAAGTTCCCTTTCCACTCCACAAATTATGATTCAAATGTATGATTTTAATGTGTTTGGTTTGGTTACTTAATTGAATTGAGAAATTTAAGTCTCCATTTCTTATTTCTTTATTATAAATAATATATTTTTAGATAAATGATACTCGGGCTGTTTTGCTATATAATAATTTGTCTACCACAAACTCATCACATCAGTTCGACTTCCCATTGTAAGTGAATGAATTCTAAAATGTTGAACCTCCTTAATAAAATCTTTAATAATGACTCTTATTTTCAATATTGGTACTTGACAATGGCACCTATAAATCTGTCATCACGGTCTCAAATAATCCAATCCAATTCATCTCTTTTCGTAAAGGTGTCCCTAACTGCATCAACATTCAATTGTCATGTCTCAAATTGCAATGACTCTCGTCTATCTTACTACGAGACTAATTCTATTCGGCGTTGGACATGAACAACTCGTGTCCAACATGAGTGCCTTGATGTTGAGCATCAAACTTGGATCATGTCCCCTTTGAAGACCACCTTGTCTTATAGTCATTGTATAACATCACAAGACG